TTTTCAATCATCCATTCATGTCGATTTATTAGAAAAAAAATGGAAAAAATAAAACAAAAAAAGAAGGAAATTACTGATTTTTCTTTTTTCTTTTTCATATTATTTGAAGACCTTGGAATAAAATATATACTTCGCAGTTGCTAAGTTTTTTTTTCCTATTTTTTCTGTACTTTATTATTTTCACATACTTTAACGGTTTTTTTGGAAAAAAAAAATCACAAGTTCCAAATCCAATTTTAAACCTTGTGCTTGAAGAGGAAAAAGAGATGAAGAAAAAGCTGAAGTGCTGATTAAAGAAACCAAAGTAATTTAAATAACAAATTAAATATAATACGGTAGTTTTTCACTGATTCGTAATCCTGTTTTTTAATAGCTTACCTACTATTTACTGTTTTTTTTTTTTTTTTTTTTTTTGTAACGAAGTTTAAATTTCAATTTAAATTGCTCTTTAATTAATTATTCATTTAATCTTATTTGTTTACTTATAGATTATCTTTTTAATTTAATATACAATTTTGCAGCAGTATTTTTCAGAGAAAAAAATGTAAAGTGTAAGGGAATGAAATAATAATTCCTTCTTTTTCACAAAAATTCTTCCATTTATTATTAATAATACTGATAAAAGAAAAAATTTAATTCAGCAAAGGAAAATTTTATACAAATTTCCATATTATTGCTATACTTTCGATAACAGTACTTTTTTTTGCTAAATATTATAATTTTATGAAATCCATTAAAGTATGAAATTGATTTAAAAGTTGTGTTAAAATATTTTCCATAAAATATAAACAAAAACCCAAATAAAGTCTGTGAAAATTGCTAGTAAAATTTAGGAACGAATTAAAGTAAAGAAATTAACTCTGACAAAAATATTACTATCTTCATTTTCTGTTTTTTTCATCATTATTAAGTTTATCTTTTCTTCTGTTATTTCATAATCATCTTAAGTAAAGCTTCTTGTGATACTGCAATACTTCTCCTATGAATCTATCGAATAGATCATTTCATATTTCATTTTATAGATCGATGAACATATCTTTTTCCTATATAAAATTATGTTTTCTTTTCCTTCCTTTCCTCTTTAAAGTTATTTCGTCATTCGTAAAATTATGCTCGTCGCTGTTATGCAACCGATTATCGTTACTACATTGAATCATTTACTAATTTTATGAATATCACAATTTTACAGAATTCGGTTGAAGTTGTGACATTACTTAATTCTATCTCATTTGTTAAAATTATGATAGAATAATTTTTGCCATCACTTGCGGATTTTTGATTAATTGATGAATAAATTATATAATGAAAAATTCAATTATTTACTGACTTTACTATTTTACATCACTGAAATTTTGCATATTTAAACAAAGTGTTAAATTCAAGTAATTAATTAAACTTTGCAGAATTCCGAACTGGAAATTAGCTATTACACTTAAGTAAACTTGATCACTGTCATGCGATATTCCTATCAATCATTAAATAACCATTTCCCATCATCCTGTTGATTTCATATCGTGCAATAATTCATATCAATAGAGATAAACCTTTGAAGTTGCTGTTAAGAGGTAAGCGAAAAGAGAAGAAGTGAAAGTGAACATATTGAATAGATTATATCTATCTGTTTTAACTTCCCGATTTACCATTTCCGATTAGTGATACTTCCCTCTCCCGGAAATCAACAAGTATATCGTCTGTTTTATTGTAACAAATTACCATAATTAATTGGGTGAGTAGTGAAATTACCTCATGCTGTTCCACTCATTTGTCCAGCGGGGGGCTCAATATTGTCATTGTTGTCGTTTACCCATCCTTTTACCTGCTCTTCTTCCTCTTCCTTCTCCTTCTCCTTCACCTTTCCCTTCTTCCACTTCTTGTCTTTCATTGTTCGAACTTATTCATTCATTCACCATATTTAGATTTGTTTATTTTATCAATTCAAACTTCTATTCCAATTTACTAATACCATAGTATGCCTCTCTTTATTTGCACTTCTATGTGTGTGCGTGTGTGTGTGTGTTTGTCATGTAGTTGACAAATGCAAAGGATACGGTAACATGGTGGTGACACCAATCTACCTCATCATCTATCGATGACACCATTTTTCATTTTTTCGTCAAATAAATTTAATTCTTCTTTATTTCCTTTTCAAAAAAAAAAGAAACTCTTAAACGATGCCAACTATAATAAATAAACTTTGCATGAAATGAATTTAAACAATTGAATGCATTTATTCATTATTAACATATATTTTCGCAATTTCAACTTCGATTCGGAATGATTCAAGAAACATGAGAAAGATATATGAAATGGGATTCTTTTGATAACTGCAATCGTTTTTTAAATTATTTTTAAGTAATACGATATCAACCACTGATACTGAACTTAGGAAAGTATAGTGCACCACTTAAAATTTGTTGTATAATCATAGAAAGGTTTATAGCTATTATTCGTTTGTCAAACTTAAAATTATTTCCAAATGGCTAGTTTACCATACATACAGTCTAGGACATTTAGTGGAAGAGAATTCTGAAACTATACTGACCATCAATTTCGCATTAACTAATGCAAATATTCCCTAAAATTCCGAAAGATTACCTTTTCCGCCTTAATTCGGATTATTAAATTCGTCTTTCTTATTATCTTAATTTTAGTGTCCAACTTTCACTTTCATTAAACACATATTTTAGTATTCATCACTGATGATGCAACAATTAGCAGTGGCTCATTAAGATTCCACAGGATGGCGCCGATCCATCATTAATATTACTACAAAAACCAAAACTCTAAACATTCTATACTAAATTCCTGTTTCATTTCTTCAGTCGAGCTTTTATTTCATTTCCATATTTCAGTTCTATTACAGCATTTGTCTTATTTGGAATTTGACAGTTATAATGCTATCAAACTTTATGGTACATTTTAACCATCAAATAAAAAAAAAATGGTTGCTTATCAAGTTTTTCAAAAGTAATATTCCAATTTTTATCCTCTTTTCTAACCTCTAAATATTTCGTAATTTGTCCAACTTTTTAGAAACTTACTTTCTAAGCATGTTATTGATTTTTTTCTTTTGAAAAAGAAATGAAAGTTTGCAATATTTTTAAGGAAGCATTCAGTGGAAAAAGAGCAATTTGCAATTCCTCTGGAAATTTAACAAAACTATTAAATTTTTCTCTCAAAAAAATTAATTAGTGAAAAACTTAGAATCAGTAAAAAAAACTTTACCTCCATATTTCTAATTAATGATGAAAGCAAATTATAGGCGAACAAATCGTTCATATCCGTTTGTTCTTAACATTTTCTTGAATTGTTTAATGATTGGTTACAAACAGTTTATTATAAATGAACATTCAGTTTTGTTAAACATAACACAATGGCTATTTAAAAATTGGACTTTTTGAAATTATCAAAATTTCCATTTTCTGATTCAAATAAACAAAACCATTTGTTAAACAAGGCTGAAGCGCACCGCTGAAGCTTTTAAAGATATCCAGAAAATATATTAGAGCTTGCCTTTTTGTAGATCGGACACAATGGTCAATCAGTGCAAATTCTTAATAATCAGCAAAGTGGGAAAAATTCTTTCAGATCATAAAATAATCATAAAACCTGGAAATAAACTTCTTAGAACATCAACGCAAAGTCTAAAATTAAAATCTTTCCGGGACAGCATATTAGTATCAAAATTATCACCTAAATGATAAGTTTAATAATATTGAAATTATAAAATTCATCCTATCATTTCGAGGTAAGCATTTAAACTCACTACTGATAATTGATTTCATCACAATAATCATCCATCATAGCTCCCACCTTTTCTTAATTCAAAGATTGACGTTTTTCTTCTTGAAACAATTATTTTACAACGAACTGATTTGTGCATTGATTGGTACATATAACAGATCAATCAGTACAGTTTCATAGATTTTATAAGGATTTCAAATTCTAACAAGCTAAACAATCAAAGAGAAGCAATGTCAATTTTTCTTTTTTTGATTTCACCGTTTTTCTTTCCTTTCTCCTCGCATTCTTTTTCGTTTTTTGAAAAATTAAATTTCTACAAGTACTAACAAACAATATGAAAGTCAACTACAGCAAAGCGATGATTTATTCGCCCTTCAGTTGTCGGGGCGGTCTTCACCCGACCGAGGACCAACCCCTCACCTCCTCCCGCCCGCCCGTCCTCGTCCCAGTCCATCCATCCATCCATCTGTGATGCTCTCCTGTCGTTGATGTTCTTTTTGCTGCATGTTGCTCGACCTATTCCTCTTGCAAAACTGCAATTTACTCGCACTATTCAACACGCACACGCACGCAGATACACAGACAGACAGGCAGACAGACACACACCCTCTTAGACAGAGTTATTTCTTAGAACACAATCTAATCTATCCTTAAATGGATGGTGATGGCATGCATGCTTGTCTCTTAATATATGTTTTACCTGTCATTTTTTGTTTCCTGAAGTTGCTCTCATTCCGGCGATTTCACTCTCATTTATATGTTTCCTTTACTAGCATCTAATTATACTAGAATTACTAATTTTCATGTATGTTTATGTGTATGTGAAAGCTATCTAACACATATTTCTGCTCTATTCCAGAAAAGTTTTTGTTTCAGAAATCAGAAATTTCGGAAAATTTTTTTTTGCTATTTGAAAATTATTTAATGAATAATTTTGTCTTACAATCCGGTAGTAATGGCGTAGACATTTCAATGCGCCTTCATTAATATTATGTGCTGTTGTATTGATAAATAAGAATTCGATTTAATCAATGTCAATTTCTACAGGGCTATTTGATGAATGCTCAAATAACGAAAACAATAATAGCAAAAACAACAACAACATTTTCTACTACAATAATAGTGGATTGCTAATCAGCACTGTTCTTGAACGAATATTTAATTTCTCATATATTTAAATTCATTTTTGCCATAATTCTAAATCTAAAAGAAGAAAAAGTAGAGGTTTTGAAGGAACCCTCAATACGCCTCTTACAATGCATTTGCTGTTTATTGTAACAGCTAGTGCAATCCTCGCATATTTCCGGATTGGAATCGATGCTGCTATCATAACCGGTTAGCTTTACAGTTTAGTTTTACGGTTCCTTTTTGCTGACCTTTCATCCAACAAATACTTCTTTATGTACAATTTTTTCTCTTGAGAAACGATTGCTGATCATTATTTAATCTACTTTCCTTGATAATTATCTCGATACACATTCATTGTCCACTTTCTTCCAGAATTTTTTTTTTTTTTTCATTCTTGCACATTATGAATCCAACTGTTCTAAGCATCGTACGTTGCGTAATGAGCAACTTACATACCACTTTCACACGTGTTAATTAAAATCAGTTAAAATTTTTTAAATTAACATTATGACAAAAATTATATTTGTAAAATTACCGGTTTTGTTGTGAATAAGTAAACTGCGAAAAAAAAAGGCAGGAAGAAGGAGAAAATTGCATCAGTCATTAGAGATAAAATAAGAAAAAATAAAAGTGAAATTAGTGGAAAAATTAATTTCATTCTTTTCACGATTGTGAAATGTAATTTGTTGAATGATTGAATGATAATTGCTAGGGGAAACAGTTAAAAGCTTTCATTCCCAGTCACATTCCAAATCTCTTTATCATCAATTCCATCAATCATCTATAAATCATCCATATCATTTATGATGTTAATTACCGTCTTTTCCAAATATCCAAACATCATTTCCTACTTAAGCGTTACCATAACATTCATGAAAATTTGCACCTTCAACAAATCAGCTGAAAATTTGAGTCATTATAGTTGCAGCTGAATAAAATAGTCAGTGATCGTTATAACTCTGATAATTTTGATTTAATTAACACGATTTCAGTCTTAGTTTAATATTTATGAAATTCATGCATATACTAATAACAATAATAAAGTTGCAAGCAAGAAATTAATATTTGGAAATATTGAAAATTAAAATTCATTTAAAAATTTGAAACAAATATGGGAAATAAACATAATAGCTTTTTCATTTTTTGAATTTTTTACTTATTCCAAAAGGGACATTTAATCATAAATAATATGATAAGGAATTTATTTCTTAATTTTCAGGTCGGTGTAATGGAGCATCCTGTCGTAACGATGGATATTGTATGCAAATTTCATCAAATGTTCATAAATGCATGTAAGTTTACTAATATTTGATAATTTTTTAAACTGTAAAATAGGAAAGTTTGTTTCTTTATACGAAAATATTTTCTACAATTAGTCATCTTTTTATAAGGCTTTCCAAAATTGTGAAGAATTTGTTGTGATGATTTTTTCGACCAAACTTTTTGTGATCTCTTCAAACAATAAATTTTAAATAGATGAACAATTTCGGGTAAAAGCTATGAATTACGGTGGAAAGAAAGGCAGGCAAAGGAGAATATTTTCCCAAGATAAGGTAATTTAGTGGTGAGAAGTTAAGAGGCGTCCTTGTCACTCAACGTAAAACTTGTCTGTTTATGTGTGATAACGCTTTAAGCAATTCATTGCATGTAACCAACAGGGGGTTCTGTCCCCTCTGCCACCGTTTTCCCCGCCTTTACTTTCCCCCATAAGGTATTAACCGCAATAACGATCTATTATAATGATTATAATCTCAGCGAAGTCTCCTGCCTCCTTTTTTGGTGCGTGTGACTTACTGCTGGGATTCGATTCATTTTACCTCCTCCGTGAAGGTCATTAATTATAAAACTATTAATTAGCATATATTCATATACTTATCATAAATGAAAATGACATGTCATTTTATAGTGTTACTCATATTATTATCAAAATTTGATAACTAAGTCTTTATCAGCTAATATAGGACAAGATGATAATAATTGATTGTTTAATTATTACTTGACTAATAAGTGTTCAATGTTACAATGATAAAATTTTGTCAGTGCTCGGTAACTTTCAATCATTTATGATATCAAATGAATGATATTAATAGGTGATAATTAATTTTGGTTCACTATGAATTTTGATTGGCTAACAATTTATTTTATTCAAACATTGCCAAACTAATCATGAAAGTAGTGTATTCGTGTTGGAGTTTTTGCTGTAAAAAGCAGTATAAGAGAAGAATTAATTATACGCATAAATTATTAATATTTACTTTGATTGGCGAATTTCTTTTTGTTTCATTTTTTTTTTTTATTTAAAAAAAATTCTATTATGCGAACGATATTCATAAGTTTAATTTGCATGGAATAAAGAGGAGTAAAGGATAGAATTGGGTTATATGATTTGATTGATTAATATAATTGCACATAAAGCATGAATAATTTTAATCTAATTAATTACTCAAAAATTCTTTTCATTTTATCTTATGCTATCTCTTACTAAATTTGAACTGGAAAAAACTGATCAAATGATATGATGACTTTTGCTCATTAAAATAACCTTTAATTCCGAATGCGTAACATCTGATTTACGGTTCATTAAGCTGTCTATACATATCGATGTTAAACATAATAGTGGTGTAGTACTAAGCTACCTTGACCTTTTTGTTTTACTGATGGATGGTCACATAATTTACTGTCACTTAACAATATCCCTAATCCGATTTTCTTTTTTTACTATCTTCTTACCGAATCGAACAATCGTTTTCTTTTATTCTTTCTCTCTCATTTCATCCTTCATTCCTATCATTTCGAAATATCAGCAAAGTAAAGCCGATCGCTTTTGTTAAAGTATTAATGAAATTTATTGTGAAAACAACAAATCTAATGGATAGAATGGCAGTTTTATACTATAAAGCTAGTAATGTATTAACAAATGTCATGTTATTTGGAATTTCAGAAATTTTTAAATATTGTAGGTTTTCGATCAATTTTCAATGTTTGATGCTATGTTACACGGATAATCAAAGAAAGAAAAAAAAAGATTCACTGCCATCTAAAGCTTTTTTTGCTTTAGTAACAGACACGAAGAAGTTTTAAGTACCTCTTAAATTTTTAAATTTGAAAATTTTTTCCAGTAAAGAATTGATTCTGTTTGAGAAAAAACCGTATACATTCACTTTATTTAGAGAGAATTTACTTATTTATTAAGGTCAAATTTAGGCTCAATGAGCCTCTCAAATTTAATTTCGATTAAATTTGACCTAATGTAAATTTAGTATTTAAATGTTAATTTAGGTTTCATTTCTTCATAAATTAAATATCAAATCAGTGTTAGTGCCAACAAAATATTGATCACCTAATTTCACTTCGTTTTTCACTTTTTTCATTGATTTGAAACTTGAATTCTTTTTTGCCAGCTAAATTTAACTGTAACCATTGGGTCGGACTTTCAACTTCAACGTATTTCTTTCCCAAACTGCTAATAACATCAATCAGTGTGAGTGACAGCTAACATGAAGCGCTCTTCATTGAAATTTATTGTCATTGTCCCCAAAGCTATTTACACATACCTATCGATGTGTATATCTATATGTGTGGGCGTGCGTGTGTGAGTATGCATAGGTGTGACATACCATCCTTGTGATGTATTTTTGATTGGGGAAAATAGAAAAGAGCAAAAAAACTTTCGTTTTTCCAACGAAATATATGAACAAAAATGATAAGTAATCAATAAAGTTTTCTGACAGTTCCATCTTATTTTAAAATATCATTCACGTATTTTACATCCATTTAATACATATTTATTAACTGAAACAAACATTTGATGACAGTTCATTCGTATTGTAAACGGGTCATCTTATACGGATGTTAAGGTTGTTTACATTATGGGGAGATTTATTCAAATCATACCTTTTTCTTATTCTAACCCTTAATTAATGATATACCATACTTTTACATTATTGCATCTTTCGGGGATAACCGTCCTTAAATAGAATTAACTATTCAAGCATTGTTTGCCTATCTTATAAATACGGATGATGAAATGGGTATCAATCATATGGTTTATGCTTTATATGCATGCCCTCATGTGGTTGCATAATGATGGCATTACACTAGTACACAGCCGTGTCATCATTATATGATGTCGTCGGTCGTCTGATGAGAGATTCCTATCCTTGATAAAACTCAATCATCATTCCCACCAGATCCCGCCCGAATTTTCCCCGCCCCGAATATTTCTCAAAGTGTGGGGGATTATCATTTGTGGATGCTATCCTTCTTATGTTTATTTTCCTGTGTTTATTTCTTTTCAAATTATTTACTTTCGAAAAGGAACATATTTACTTTAGAAAAGATTGTCATGCTTTAAAATATTACCCATACATCGGGTAAAGAAAGAGCGGTATATTTCATCAAAAAAGTCTTAATGTATTTATCACCCGCACCGAGGTTACTTTTTTGAATCAAGTTAATCTTAAACACGTGTGCTAAGGATTCTGAAAAGAGTAGTCCCACAAATTTAATATTCTTTCTAAACATTTTTTTGTATAAGGTTTTTGAAATTACAAATAAATAAAATATACCAGTTGAGACTAAATGAATATAATGTCACATTTTTCAACGGTCTAAAAATTGGATCACTTAGCATTAACTAAATAAGAGAATGAGAATGATGAAAATCTAGTGTCATTTGAAATTTCCAAAAGTAGTTTCATCAACCGAATTTAGTAATCTATTTGTAATAATCTATCATTACTCTCATAACTGATTCGTATTAGTGCAAAAAACAACGCAATTTGAATACGAGCAAATTTTAATAATATGTTATCTTTTAATCAGTAATTTTTATCATTAACAAAATAAATTAATTTGTTGCAGATGTACAGGTGGGTATATGGGTGATCGATGTGAGGAGCGTTGTGATTGCTTGAATGGTGGCGAATGTCTCCGAAGAGGATCACTGTCGATATGTGTTTGTCCTATTGGTATGATTTTCATTATCATTCATAACTTATCACTGTTAATACAAATACAAATTTTAGTAAGAAAATTCTTATTATTTCCATTATTATTAATTATTATTTTTATATTCGTTAGTTATCCGACAAACTTCCAAACTTGAAGTTTTTTTTAAAAACTTTAAAAAGAGAAGAAATATGTTATTAAATTATAATTGCAACGACAATTTAAGAATTTTTTTTCATTTCGTATTTTCTCATCTGTCTAATTATTTCATTAATAATTTTTCAAAACTTTTTTTCTTACTTTTATTTTACCTTATTGTTTTCAAAGATGGTTTAAAACATGAAATTCCCTTCCCAAAAAGTTAAATTTTTTTTCCATTTGGAAAGATCAGAGAATTCAAAAATTCTTCTCTTTCGATATGCTTCGAATATCTCTGAATTCAATCATAGCATATTATGCTCTCCTATACTTCTTATCACTCATCCTTTTTATTCCATGAAAGAATTGATTCCCGGGAATTTCCACCAAATAATATATCCTATCCTCTTATTCTTTCCTCTTGCAAAAGAAAGAAAGAGAGAGAGAAGAGAGTAATTTTTTGTTGTTCCTTACCAATCGGTTAGACACTTATTCTTTTATCTTTTTTCAGTCAAATAAAATAACAGCAATGAACAATTAGCCATTTTACATAAAATCAAAAAGGAAGAAAGTAGAAATAAATGAAATACTGAATTACTTGAAAAAAGGAATTGTGTTATGTGTCCCATAATTGTTAATAGATTGAATACTTTTAAGTGAGGAAAAAAAGGTGCCGAAAATAGAAAAGGCGCAATTGTTGCATTAGCACCAAAAAGAATACATTAAAAGAAGAAAAAAAAAGAAAAAAGGGGTCATCAGTTATATTGCGCAGTAATCTCTTATCCTTTTCACACATCAAACAGTATTTTTTCAAATCATTTACCGACAAAAACACTAATCTTTATTATTACTTTTTCATTCTTACCTCCCTCTCTCTCCTTCTCTCTCTCCCTCTCTCTATCTCATCAACAGTTCAATCAGTTTCCCGGAAGTGTGTTATTCAATAAAAACAAAAAAGCACATTTTCAACTCCCATAATTGTTGCTTCTTTTTTCCTTCCTTAATTTTTCTTTATTCCTCTTTCACTTCTCCTGTCATTTTGTTTTCTTTCTTCATTTCAAATTCAAAAGCTTTTTAAGAATATTATTTCTACCATAATGAGGTTCTCATATCCCTCCAATATCCTCAGAGAGACAAAAAAGAGAAGACGGACGACGATATTATTCATATCATTTATTGCATTTTGAAATTTTCTTATTGATTTCATTTCTATCTATCAATTTCTTTTCTCTCTCTCTTCCTTTCTCTTCTCTCTCCCTCTCTCGTTTCGTTTTAATTATTAGAAATTATATCTTTGCACATAAAAATTGCTTAGCATATGTCATATAGCTTATAAGTTGTTTACCAGCGTTAATATCTCATCGTCAATTTTTTGCATTCATTTCTTTATACTACTAATTAAATTAGTAAATTAAATTTGAATTAAATCACTTCATTCTACATTCCTAACATTATTTGCAGTAATTTTTCACTTCAAATACTAACTTCTTAAATAATTTGTTTAGCAACTTCCCAATTAACTAATTAGTCAATTTGAAAGTGCAAAACCTCAATCAAATATGTCTCAAAAATGAACTTGTGAGCAATTCTTGTTCGTCTTCTCACTAAGAAAGTAGAGAAGAAGAAATGCCAATACCAGATAAAGTTAACTCTTTAAAAAATCATTTTTACATTTTTATCAAAATACTGATTTCTATGAAATTGCCGAACCACCCATAAGTGTATTCCGACTACACGTGATGTCACTTACGTGGAATCATCGAATTTCTCTATTCTATAATTCATAACAAACAGAAAGAAAAAATAAATGGTAAACTTTAGTAAGCATTATAAATTTTAATGACATTGAATTAATGTTTATTTCAATATCGGTCCTCTTTGATGACATGTACCAGTATATTTCTGTCTTTAAATCATCTTTTTTGTACAGTATGTGTATATCATTTAAATATCATTCCTATCTTCCTTTTCCTTTTTTTTTGATCATAGGAAGAAGCAAGGAAAGAAAAGTTTTGTGTTACTTTAATGAAAGAAGGTATTGACATACAGTGGGAAATAGTATAAAATAATAATAGTAATAATAATGATAATAATAAATATTATTACAATTATTGATTGTAATTGTCAGAAGTCATTGTCCTTGACGGTTTTGGTATTACGAAAGTAAAAGAAGCGAATTCATCCTCAGTTCAATTGGTTCTTTCTTCTCTATCACCGATCTGTTGTTCTATATAATATTGCGTCCTTTCCCGCCCGCTTTTGTGTCAGTGTACTTTGTAACTTCTACCAGCCACTTCATTCACTCATTTGAATAATCATTACAGTCGATATGATGGCTTCTTTCTTTGATTTTTTATTGTTATTACATAACGAATCAATGATAATAACAGTATGAACCAATGATGACAGTAACAGTATGAGTCAATGATAACAATAACGATAGCAGTATGAGTCAGTGATAGCAACAAACAAAGAAATATTGAAATACGAGAGCTATCTTTCATTCCATCTTTTTTTAATATGATTTTGTTCTCCTTTCATCCTTTTCTTATGTGACCGCAAAAAAATGAAGCGAAAAGTTCTGTTCATGAAAAAGGACAAAAAAGAGAGAAAACGGAGGGAGGGCGAGGGGAAAATAAAAAAAATGGACACTGACAAAACTCTACACTTACTATCTTCATGATACACGTTATTTCTTTGTTGAAATTTTCAGTATGACTTGGGAAAAACTTCTTCTGGAAAACAAGAGGAGAAAAGAATATCATTGAAATTTTAAAAATAGAGTTTAAACGGTTTATTCATTACCAGTTGCATTTATTTTAATTACAAATTTATATGTGGTAATGAGTTAAATTAGTTAGTTTACAACGCTTAAATCTGACATTTATAACTTCATATCATGAATATAGAGAAGGTTTGACCTCTAAAATCTGACCTTCCATCGATTCATACAGATTGGTAGATGGTCAGAATGAAGTGGAATTTTTTTTAAAAGAAATCAAAATCTTAAATCCATTGAATTTATATTTGTAACAACGGTTGAATCTGCGAGAAGATCCATTGCAGCTCGTTTCAGGGTTAAATCGATCGTGCAATTAAACTTAGAGAAAATTTGGGGTACATTTGATACCAAATAATTCTAAAAAATGAGAGTAGTTGGAAGGAAGAGAAGGAGGCGAGATATCATTGTCAGTGCATAACCTTTGATACGAATAATCAATAACCTTTCGATCAATTAACCTTTTCTATTTTTTTCGCTAAATGATGGAATGCTTTAAAAGCTGTACATATGTGTGAACGGGATTGATTTTAAGAGGTTTAAGGGGAGGAAGTAGGGAAAAGCAAAGAAGGCGCTATATGCGGGGGAAAGGGGAGGAAAGGAAGGAACGGACGAAGTCTCTTTGTTGAAAAAAGAAGGAAAAGAAGATTGTAAGTGATCAATTTGCATTTCTATAGAAAATGCCACCAAAGATGAGATATTTGCTATATGTATGTGTAACTGTTGAATTTCCCTCACATTGTTCAAAATAAAAAGGGAAGAAGCATTTTTAAAACATTTTTTGCTTTACAGTCTTCCAAAAGGAGTACGACAGAGGGAGAGAGAGAGAGGGGAGAGAAAATATTTTTCTCGAGAAAGATTGTCCAGGTCGGATGGAAAGAAGAACGAATACTTGGGGATGAACAAACAAGAGAGAAAAGTGGAAGAGAGCAGGGTAATAAGGGTAGATAGGGAAATGGAAATATTGAGAGTAAGGGAATTGAGAAATCGCGTCTGGACAGGACGGGACAGGAATCTGGAAATGAACAAGAAAGAGAAAATGGAACGGTCCGGAATGGATAAGACCAAAATAAGGCAGATAAAACGAGAAAATTGGCTTAAATCGTTTGAATAATATTGAAAACATCTTTATGAGGATCAAAACAAAAATGATAATTTATTAAGTCAATATGAAAGATTGCATTTCAGAATTTGGAATTGTTGAAATATGCTACAATCAATTTGCAAAAAATTATTATTGCATTACAGAATTTTTTTTTTGAAATTTTAAACTGTTCTATTTTATGACTGAAAAACGAACAAACGATATGAGAGAAAAATGAAGAGGATAATTGTTAATAAATACAAAGTACCAGGAAATACTTTTCAGGCTTTAACGGAACACTTTGTGAATATCGACAACCTAGCAGATGTGATGAAGCGCCATGTGTTCATGGGCGATGCATTTTGTCTAAATCATTAGATACATTTCGATGCGAATGTCAGATCGGATTTACAGGTTATTATTTTAAGTCATTTTAAGCAAATTTAAGTAGCGTATATATGTGCAGAAATGTACCTAACCGGCAATGACCTAAATTAAGCTATGCCGATGTATTTAAAAATGGCATATTCCACGAAGAGTGGATTTCCCATATCCTTTTGGTGTTCTCCCTGGTTTGTCAATAGGGGGTCATTCTTGATATCAGCTGAATTTACAGTATACGGTACATTTCCCATCGTTTCATGGTAAGTCATCTTTTTTTCCTCAAATATTTCCGATTAATTCTAACCAAACATATGCCTTCTCATCTTATTTCATTCGAAATTATTTCCCCAAAAAGTCTAACAACAATAACAAACAACTCGTTTGTTGTTTACTTTTTGCAATTATTGTAGAAAGCCTATGGGATAGGATATATTCCCAAGAATTATACGATATTGTCCGTGAAATTCCTCTATTTCTCATTCTATTTTTTCGGTAATATATAGACATCATATAAACGATGAAAGGAACAAATATTTGATCCCTATAATTTTTTGAAATTTTAATTTTCTTAGCAAACATTTCATCAGTATCTTTTTATTTTGCTTTTGTACTACCAAGAAGTGGAGATGGAATTTATTTTAGCATTGGTCGTTTTCACATAGCTTATGGAACTTTAATCGTTCAATTTAAATGATAAAAAATTTTAATATAAGACAAGTATTGAAATTGAAATTGTCATTGTTTGAGAAGTTAAGCGATGATAATCGTTTTCACAGTTATGTTGATCATCAAGAGATAAATGGTTGTTTGCTAGTCCTGCTAACTGCTATTTACTAGGACTAAAAGATAAATATTCCGGAAAAAAGTATAGATCATATTTTTGTCAAATAAATAAGTAATGTAGCGAAATACATATCCAACATTTGTTATTCATCGCAGTGCAGATGTAAGTCAGTTGGATAATAGATATAGCATTAATATTAATATGATTGAAATATTTCCTGCAAAAATTTTAATGAAGCCAAAAAGACCAAACTGATCAGGCAGTTAATGTTAGCTATTCTGATCATCCGTTGCATTAATATAATTTTCATAATTAGCAGATGAATTAGATGAAATTTCAAAATATTTTTCCCTCGGAAAATCATTAAATTTCAAGATTAATTCATCTTCTTTCTTTAACAAACAGAAATTTTGATGAGATGGATCATCATCCTCTTTGCCTTCATCGTTTTGCTCCCAATAGCGGTGTGAAATGTCAACAATGAAACGATGAAATCTTTTCGATTTGCTTCATTCATTTCATCTCTTTCCATTCCTACGTTCCTTTGAAGATTATTTACCTAAAATGCGGCTATAACTTTGAAATAAATTACGATAAAAAATTTCTTATTCCAATTAGATTCAAATTAACACCAATAAAATTGCCTGCGTTATTTCTTGTCATTTTCGGGCATTTCAAAAAAATTTTCTTCCAATAGAAAAAAGAAAATTATCCTCATTAATTGCTACCAATTATAAAGAAGCCTGATTGATAAATAAGGAAAGGAAGGGGAAAAAAGGAAATTCGCATTCCGGACGAGTCCTCAGTTTAAGAAAGATCCAGTTCATCCGCTTTCCACTTTTTCCTTTTGCATTATCCTCTTCCTCTTTCTTTCTTTCTTTCTCCCTCTCTCTATCTCTCTCTCCCACTATACTGGTTATATCAGTGTACCATCAATTGTTTGTTATATGTTCACCCATTCAATGGTCATTTCTTCGTAAAAATGACCATTGAAGCTATTGATAAAGGATAACAAAAACTGGGCAATTTTTCTTTCATTCTTTCAAAATTACCACTTTTTTCTTCAGAAAAAAGTGGTAATTTTGTCAAATGGATTTGATTCGAAGGAAACTTTATTCTGCTGAAAATGTTCTTAAAATTATGTCTCCACTGAAATTTATTCAAATGGGATCTTTCTTCATTCTTTAATTTCTTCCATGAAAGAATGTAGCGAAATCGTTGAAGTATTAAAACAATTAAAAGCATTAATTGGAAGCTTTAATTCTTTCCGGAAAGATTTTATCATTCGACATTTTTGGGTTAACATCTTCACATATTCAAAGTTATTCTATCATTCATTTCTCCACGACATATGTCGATGGTTGGTAATGGCACGATAATTTCTGGTTGTGATCGTGTTTAAATGTTTTCAATCATGAAATTCTTCCTCTTATATAATTAATTAATTAAAGACTTTTCCACACGGATTATTTTCTCCATTTTATGCATTTTAAATTAGCGATCCTTTTTGCTTTGTTTTTCAACTCGAAACTTTCAATGATTTAATAATTTGCAATCACATTATGCAATATTTGTTCAGGCTAAAAAAATTTTCAGTTTTTAATTAAGCAAGAAGATTATATCATTCGATATCCGCAAATCATTCAAAATTTATTATTCTAGCAAACATAATCAGTTAATTGAAGTAGAATTTATTAGAAGAAGAAAAAGAGGGGAAAATAATATCCTCATTTGAATAATTATGGAAATATCAGACTATTCATCATTACAAATGCAAAATTAGCAGTTTTAGTTAATAGGTAATAATGGAAAGTGTCGTGGAATGAATGACTTAAAGAATGAATGAATGGATGATTGAATAATTATTGTATGGAAGCAATGCTTTTGCTTTTGCTGATAGATATGCTTTGCATTCACGCATATTGTAATCATCGCTATTATCGTATCAGTTTAAAAAAAAATAAAAAAGAAAAGACTAAAATGATAGGGAATGGAAGGGTGAGAGAGAGAGAGAGAGAGAGAGGGAGGGAGAGTTTGCATTTCTCTCCTTTTCCAGGGGTGGTGTAAAAAAAGAATGTATTTTGATTATTTGCGATGAATAATGAATGTCTTACCGATATTCATTATCAACCACCAATTTCTCCATTTTCTTTATCAGAAATATGATTGAAAAAGGCACAGAATGGAAAGAAGATTGAAATTAAGAATAATGATTAGTTTGAGGGGGACCTCTTTCATTAGAAAATAAGGTAAACTCCAAGAAGAGAACAAAAAGTAGTGATGAAGGAATAAAATAATCCAATAGTGGTCTGTCAGCATTGCTGGAGGGGTTTAAGATTTTTTCAGATTTTAAAGTATGCGGAATTTAAATCAGTCAAAGTATAAAAAGTGATTGTAGTTATAATTTAAGGGTCCTTATCCAGTTAATGATAGTTAAAAAATTAGTATTAAATTAAAACTTCAGCTGAACTATAGCTATCATTTAGAATCTCATTAGGTCTTCTCTTAATTTCATTCCATACCTATTGTTGTACTTCAATTAAATTAATTTTTATGGATTCCACTTTTTATTCTTCCACTTTCCAGATCATCACTTATGAGTAAATAGTGACTGATTGAAGGCATATATTGAAAAATTTAATTTAAAGTTACACTTGGATACAATCGAATAAATTAAGGGTTTATCAAAAATGGAGACACGATAGTGGCGGTGGTGTATAGTGGTAGTAATTAACTTTAATCGATCAAATAACAGACAGCTAATACGTATGCAAAGCATTTGTTTTATGCATCGTTCCATTTGAAATCAGTTTTTTTTTTCCTTTTTTTTTTCTGTATTTCAATATCATAAAAGAAAAGCTGAGAGAAGGATAAAATATAATGATTAAACGGTATGTTACAGTAAGATATATGTATAATCAGATTGAAATGCTTTCAATCATCCACTAAAGAGCATTAATAAATATGATACCCCCGTTCCTCATATTGTATGGATTTGGAGATTTGTCAGTTTCCAATTAAAGGACAAAAAACTTGAAAATATATCAAAGTAATTCATAATTCTAACATATCAGAACGACATCATTTAAAAATGTCAAATGATACAGTGATGTAATAAGTTTAAGCGTAAAAATAATCATTTATTAATTCTTTTTTCTATCTGAAATGTAAATTCCGATAGTTAAGCAGTTTCTTAATTAAGAACATGACAGGAAATCAGCAAAATATCTGAATGCAAATGTTTATATCTTTTTTTTGCAGGTGAAAGATGCGATAGACGAAATTATTGTGAAGGTAATCCATGCAGAAATGGTGGTTCATGTATATCAACAACCGGAGGTTATCGTTGTGGTTGTCCGGAAGGCTTTCACGGCAATAAATGCGAATTAGATATCAACGAATGCCATTTGAATCCATGTGTTCGCGGTAAATGCATCAATGAGGTACATTATATATCAAGAAAGGCTCCAGGCTATATATCTTTGGGATAAATGAATTGAATTGTTCATCATATTAAGTGATTTGATACACTTTCATACAGAAATAAATATTCGAAGTATTCATAGAAGACTTAAACAGATCTGTTACTTGTCAGTTATTCATTTTAATTTTCAAATCACTGAAAGAGTACCTAAAAAGTATGCAGAGATATTTGAATTTCAGTGGAATATTTGAAAAGTGCCCGTAAAAGACCAAGTTTTCGAACATTTTTTCTTTTACTTTGTCATCCAGAGAAAAGAGAAAACTAAATCATTAATACTATTCAATTGTTTTTGGTTACAGTTTGGTTCATATCGATGCGACTGTCCACATGATTTTACCGGTCGTAATTGTGAAACGTTCTCATTTAACATTGATCCCTGTTCCACGTCTCCGTGTCACAACAACGCCAAATGTTATACGTATCGTGACAAGTACTACTCTTGTGAATGTCGTCCTGGTAATCTGTTCTCATTCTATTGTTATAATTGATAGCACCATTGATGTCACTTCTCTAAAATTTTCTTTTCCATTAAGTTTTTTTTTTTTCCTTTATTTTAGGATTTTTTTAAAATCGTTTTTTGAAAGTTAGAATTTGAATTAAAGTAGGAAAAATATGATCACAGAAAACGCTATTTTTGCATTCTTTTCTTTTTTTTTTTTTTTTTTGAATTGGTGGAATTAATTTATTTTGAAAAAGAGTAATTATTTTAGACAATTTCAAATGATACGTTGTCTCAGTGCGATGACAAATTACTATTCTTTTTTCTCTTTCTTTCTGTTCCATTCATTGTTTATGACCTTAACTTTTTTTTTTTTTTGATTTGTACACTGTGAATTGGAGCTAATGGAAAAACATTTCAATCTTTTTTTTTTTTTTTTGGAAATGAAGTAAGAATTGAGTGAATGAAAAAATGGATTAAACAGAAAGGGATTCAATTATTTAAAAATTGAACAAAAAAAGAGATATAACTGAGAAATGCGAAATTGAAAACAAGCAAACAATAGAGAGAAATTTAAAAAAAAAAAACAACTTTTTTTCTGAGATTCAGATGAACGATCTTTTTTGAAGATTAAAATGGAATTGTCAATTTGAGTTAAATACTTCATCTAATTATTACTTTTTCTTTCTACCATTCAATACTTTGCTTTCACTTAAAAGTTTTTTGTATGGTGCTATGAAAGTTTGATCAAAATAGTTTTTAAAATCGATTTATTATTTTAATCTTACTTACATTTAATGTTAAGGTAAATATTTTAGGCTTTACTGGAAGACATTGTGAAGTGAATATAGATGACTGTTCGGAAAATGCTTGCATGAATGGCGGTACTTGCATTGATCGTGAACAAGGTTATGAATGCAAATGTCCACCATTTTACACTGGTTTGTCTCTTCTGCTAGTGATATCATAATGAGTCAAATATTATCACAAACGACGGTATTCTAGTGTCTATTGTAAAATACTCTTTTTGATAATACCAATATTTTATAAATAATAACTAAACTAGAAGAATACTAAATATATTTAAATAAGCTTGTTGTGACAAGAGCTGGAACAGATCTTTTATATTCTCCAAAACAAAATACAATATAACAAAAATCATGATTACTGCAATCAAAAAAATCGTCATTATAGATACTGATGAGAAATTTCAATTTATAGAAATATATAAAAATTACAATTTGTTTAATGTACTACCATTAATTTAGTCTTTAAAAAAATTACATTTTTTGGATTTCAAAATTGTCTCCTGAAATATTCAATTTTTAAAACTGTATTGCTTCATCCTTTTTTTTTTTTTTTTTTTGCATCAAATAACTATTCTTGATAAGTGTTACAATGGAAATGATCGATCTTTATCCATTTATCATCGTCTATTACCACAGTGACATTCATAAAGAACATCATTATTCGTGGGCTTCAATACACTTACATCTTAGGAAAGAGTAGTAATTATTAATTATTTTAATTATATTAATCAGGAAAGAATGTTTTATTTCCGGTATAATAAGATCATTACACTTTCTGTGATTATCCCAGTCATAGATTTGATATTCACTTTAACTTTAACTCATCCAAGTTATTATCATCACCATTCACTATAATTAGTGTTAATTTTACTAACAATCATTAACAACAATAACAGATGACGTTTATGCAATTACTTGTTCTCTTATGGTATGATAATTTAGAAGAAAGAGTGAGAATGACATATGTGAATTAGAATTAAGTTGAAATGCTGTCGTGATCTTATAATGTGATTATAATTTAGAGAGAGATGATGATAGAATAGCAATAATAGTTAGAAATTTCTCACACTATACCCTAAACATCTGCCACTTATTGCTAAAACGGATGACAGCTATGTATTCATTTTCTCCTCCTTTCCCCACCCGTTTTGTTCTTAATGTATCGGCATTTAACATCAATCAAAACTGTTATCCGTTTTTGTCGTTTCGATGTTAGTTGTATCAGCATGGTGTAGTATAACTGATCTTTGATATCCGTCATTCATTTACACCCTTTTTCCCACACTTCCATAAGTCAACGTTATACAAATCTGTTATTCATCTTTTTTGTTCGAGAAATGCTTCAACATACTTCTGGTGTAAAACTTCAAATTGTTTATCAAATGTGGGGAAAAAAGAAAAGAATTCGAGAAGATGGAAGATCAGTTGACATCTGTAAATGAATCAAATAATTTAACAATTCTACAATAATATTACATAAATTATTTTAATAAGTGGAAGATAGCAAAAGTAAGGCATAGAATGAAACATAAGAATATAAACTTAAACAACAAATGATTGATTGGACTATTTATTTCATGACAAATGAAAAGATAAGTTATGGTATCATACATACTATTATTGTATGACTTTTGAATATTCTATCAAAAGCAATAGTTCATTGATAAGTTTAGCAAGGATAACAAATGTGCAGATAATTAATAGAAAGTACGAAGAGATATAAGTAATAGAAACAATATTTCGTGTAAAGTAGCATGAAATTTCGTATTTCAATTAAGTAAGAAATGTGTAGTACACATTTCAGGTCGCTTATGCGAGGAAGATATTGATGAATGTGAGTTAGGTTTGCATGAATGCAAGAATGGCGCAACATGTTTCAATAAAAAAGAAGGTTACCAATGTGTTTGTGTGAATGGTTGGGAAGGTATCCATTGCGAGATAAACAAAGATGATTGCAAAGATGCTCTTTGTGAGGCAGGTAGCACGTGCGTGGATCACCTCGCTAAATATACCTGTGAATGTCCACCGGGTCGTATCGGTAAGTTATTGGACATTGGTTCTGCTCTTTCTTGAATTTTTTTAGATGTATAAAAATGAGTACTTAAAGCCTAGAAATGAAGTGTAACATGTATTGTTATATTAAACTGTACTTAATTTCTGGATTCATATTTTTTGTAGGTTTATTATGCCATATGGAAGATCCATGTCTATCAAATCCATGTCAAGTTGGGTCCGTATGCGAACCTGATACATCGAGTGGAAAGTATACATGTGAATGCCCGAAGGGATACACCGGAGAGGATTGTTCTAATGATATTAACGAATGCAATCAGGTAATATTCAATAGATGCAGTTCCGAAATCATTTCTATGAATCTCTAGACAATGAAGAATTTGAAGTTGACGAAGGCAGTAATACTAGGAACATAATTAATTTCTAGGATCATGCTGTTTGTTATAATGGCGGTACGTGTGTGAATACACCTGGATCATTTCACTGTGAATGTCCACCAGGTTACACCGATTGGCACTGTCAAACTCATGTGAATCAGTGTTCCACTAATCCATGCCTTAATTCTGGCACATGCTTGGATTATGGAACACGCTTCAAATGTGTTTGCATGTCAGGTCAGTTATCTTATATTAATCATTTTGTATAATTTATAATGAAAAATGACTTCCAAAGGAAGAAAGTTCATTTCAGGTTTTCATGGAAAGCGCTGTGAACTTCACTGTCCATCTGGCTACGAAGGTGAGAACTGTGAGCGTCGACAGTATATAGAATGTAGCATAACCGATTGCCTAAATGGTGGCGTTTGTTCGAAAGGTTCATGTCGTTGTCCTCCGGGATTTACTGGTGATCGTTGTGAGAAGAAATTAGATCCGTGTAAATATCACAACTGCCCTCAAAATGCCATATGTATTCCGATCAATAATAGTGTTACCTATAAATGCGAGTGTAAATTGGGTTTCTATGGACATGATTGTAAATTAGAAGTAAGTGTTTGTTCCTCATCTTATCCAAAAATATCCCAATATGTCAGTATTAGAAGCAGAAATTAGCCAAGAAAAAAACATTCCAGTATTAATGATATCAAATTAGCGAGAAAGTATTTCAAGATTAGTTGCACAAATTAGCCATGAATACATGAATAGAATCCAAATCAGAAATTCAGGCCTGTTTACAATATCACTACGAACTGTTTAAATCGTTTCAGATGAATGAATGTGCGTCAAATCCATGTCAGCACGGTGGTGTTTGCACAGATCACTTGAACGGTTACGTGTGTTCGTGCAGTGCCGGTTATACCGGCGAACAGTGTCAAACGAATATCGATGACTGTATTCATCATCCATGTTTACATGGTGGCACTTGTATTGATGGTATCAATTCTTATTCATGTCATTGTGCACTACCATACGACGGTGATCGATGCCAATATGAGTAAGTGAGTTTGGAAAAAATTATGACATTTCTCATCTATGGAGAAGTTTCTTTTTTAATAAATGAGGCTGCTGTACAATCTCATATCTTATTTGCTAGACGAAATATTGTTGCTTTTTTCCTTTTAATTCATTAAACATAACGTATATTGACATTGACGTTTAAGTTTTGTAACCTCAAGTTTGTCAAAGTATTTTAGAATAAGTAAGTATTCCGAAATGTTCGCAATTTTTCTTTCAGAATTTATTTTATTAAAATACCAATATTTAAGATTAGATCCATGTCGGACAAATCGCTGTGAAAATGGTGCATTTTGCAAACCAACGCCAACTTATCGGAATTATACATGCAGTTGTACGAACGGTTTTTATGGGTACTATTGCGATACTGTAAGTTTTATTCTGTTTAGCATCATCTAGAAATTTATCATTAGATAACGATATCATTATGGCTTATTGTGTCATTAAATCATATTCGACCATTAAACTGATAATAGTTGAGTATTTGAGGGTTTCAGGATATTGATGAGTGCGCAGTAAATAATCCATGTCTCAATGGTGGTACTTGTGCAAATAAATTTGGATCATATCATTGTCGTTGTTCGGATGGTTATACCGGTAGGAATTGCGAAAACGACCGGAATGATTGCTTACCAAGTATTTAGACATTTTGAGTTTCATATTTTTGTCGAACATGGATCCTTTGCCTACGACAGTAATTCAACTGACCACAAGTTAGAATTGTATCACACTTGTTATTCGTTCCCAGATTTTCTCGTCAGAATTTTCAGATCCTTGTCTAAATGGTGGTCATTGTATGGATGAACTGAACGGCTACCATTGCGAATGTTTGGCGGGTTTTACGGGTCGTCAATGTGCCACGAATATCAATGAATGTGAATCGTCACCATGCGAAAATGGTGCATCCTGTATTGATCATATCAACGGTTTCGAGTGCATATGCCGTCGAGGTTTCAGTGGTACTTTTTGTCAAACCAACGATGATGACTGTCAACCAGGGTATAATAAAGCTTAATTTTTAGAAAACTAGTTGAAAATTGTGACATTTAAGGATTTAGGGGGATTCAGATTTACAGATGTTATTTGCAGATAAAATGTGTCTGCAAATAATTTTCAATTATTTGAATTCGATAATTCTTAAATATTGCTGTTTTCAGTGATTTTCAATTTTTGTAACTCTGCAATTCATTAGAGTTTTTATTTTTTTTTTTAAAAAAAAGAGTAGAGTCAAATATTGGTAACTTTTTAAATTTGTACTAAAATGAAGTGAATGAATGTGGTAAATCAGTAATATTACGGTAATCTTCAGTAACCAACAACAGTATACACTTTTTTAATTGAGGAATACCACTGAATTTCAGTTTTACTATCTCTATAAATCCATTATTAGCGTTCGACTGTTCATTTTGCATTTGTTGGTGTTATTGATGCTAATAACGACAAATATTTTTCTCATCATTAAGCTGCTGGTAATTTATAGGAAACCTAAAGTTATTGCATAATTATTACACATTGATGAAGGGAATAGTTGTTGCGGTAGCTAATAGAAAATGAGTAATTAATGGGAAAGGATGGATGAGAGAATCACTACTGACCATAAGTAGCAGTTTTTTTTAGTACTCAAATTTCAGGTAATTAATTTCATACTTGTGCAAGAGGTAATGAGTGTTGAAGAGAGTAGGGAAGGAAGGGATCGAGTATATTTTTGATAGGTCTGAAATGTAAGCTGCTTTCCCACGACTGTCCTCCTTGATGACCAAGACAGGATGGCGATCTGTTTTGACCGTCCCATCTGATACATATCTTTTGTTTATCATATTGTAAAGAACAGCAGAATGTGTAGTTAACTCTACGATGCATTCTTCTCTTTTGCTTTATGATATTACACTGCTGCTGACTGCCAATTCGTCCTTTTGTCCGGTTTCAGAGATCGATGATAGCCCTGAATACTTCCTGGCCCTAAATCAGGTTTGAAATGCTTTACGACCGTCATTTTTCATTATTTTCTTCTGTTCAGTAGGAGTGAAAATGGAAGCATCGAATGAGTGAAACAAAGAGGACAGTAACAATAATGAGCAATATCTCGAAAACACATGTAATAACGGGAAGGCATTTGAGTGGATGACCATTGGTCATTATTCCCAAATTTGTCACTTATGAAAGTATATGTGTCTAGTTTCACTCACGATAAATACATTTTAAATCTGTTTCTGGGATCGAATGAATTACTGGGTCAATCAAGCAAATGAAGAGATATAACAAAGCATACCTGGCTTGCAACACTTTACGGTGCTAATTTTAAGATCTAAGATTCCGATAGAATAATAATCTGTTTCATTTTTTGCTATTACTGTATTCCATTTGCAGTTTGTCTTTACCTGAAGCATGGTTAGAAGAGATTCTTATTTAAATAATGTAAACCATTGTGTTTAGGTTAGCAATGATCTGGTAGCATCGAGTGTACTTACACATCTGTTGACGGATAATTGCATAACAGCAGGAATGAAAGATATTTTCACACACTTCACAACTGAAAGTGATATATACTGAGATAACTTTGCAGATCATTGAGTTGAGTAAATAGACGAAAGTATTCCGTGAAGAAATTAAATTTAATCATACACCCGAAAAAGAAAATGAATTGTGGTAGGAGAATGTTTTGACCGTATCATCGAGAGATCGTGACTGCTTATTGAAGAAAGGTATCCAATACATATATATATAAATACGCATATATCATGGGATCAATTTGTGGACATTACAACACCCTAAACCTCATTGTTTATTCAACGAATTATTTTCAAGTATTGTGTTGAGAAAATCACTGACCCTTACATAGTACCATTCCTTTCTTCCACAATCCACAGGTCGATTAATCGTCTAACAATACCGGGACAAATCATTTTGTTTAAAGGAAAAAATCTTCATATTTAAAGGGTAAGCATATATTTACCTATCTAATTACTGGGAAGGATACCGAGGGAAGGGAAGGATTAACTTGTTTATTATCTGTTTTTGGGATGTTGAATCTTTTAATTACCACATTCGGTATACTGCTTCAAATTAGGAAAGAAGTCAAGTTAATTTAGTTATAGATTTGAATTTTTATTCAGAAGAAAAATCCAAAGTTATGTAAAACATAAATTGTTTAAAGTTTAGAATTATGTTGCGCATTGTTATTAATGTTAAATTCAGTTTTCATGACTTTCCAGTCTTGAAGTTAGGACTGGAAACTTGAATTTAATCACGACAAAAAAAAAGAAAGGGAAGAGAGTGCTTTCACCATTTTCAAAGAGAAATATTTAAGCCTTATTTAAATAGGGGCCATTAAAATGAATATGAAGAGAAATATTACCTTACCGTGATTCACTGAAATGAAATACTATCATCTCCGAGATTTATTAAAATAAATCACCTTTATCAAAATTGGAAAATTATTCCAAAATGAAGGAAGTTTGCCAAAACATTTCTTTGTAAGGTTTTGGTAAAAATTTTTGTTATTGATATTAATATCACAAGTAAAAGAAGAGATTATTTGCTTTCAAACTATTAAACATACAAAAAAATTAGTTTTGGTTTTATCATGTTTAATATGAACAATTAGAGAATTTAAAATGAAATAGGAAATTTAATTTATTAGATTAATTGAATTTGATTGCTGAATTCATATCGTTCATTATAGGTTATGTTTGAATGGTGGGACGTGCGTGGATGGTGTTAACTCGTATCGTTGTCGGTGTCAGCGTGGATTTACCGGGAAGAATTGTCAGCATCAAATCGATTTGGAACAATTCAATGTAACTGATCTGTTGGAGCATGAACTATGTGCCAAGCATGATTGTATAACAAAGGTGTCAACTCATTTAATTATAAGATATCATAGATTAGCTTGTTTGTTTACGTCTCATTCTGCGTAATAATGGCACAATCGACCTTTCTTTTGCCTTCATTTAATTTATCAATTTCAGGCTGGTAATAAAGTGTGCGATCAGGTTTGCAACTATTATGCATGTCATTATGATAGCGGAGATTGCAGTGCTGGTACGAAACCGTTTGAAAAATGCGAATCACCAAGTTATTGTGCTCATGTTTTCAGAGATGGAAAGTGCGATCCGGTAAGCTGTTAGGGTAACATGAATTACCTCAAACTGAAAAAGCTAAAATTTGAACTAATTTAAATTTCGAGTATATTCAGAGAAATATCATTACTGTTACACCACTTTTATCATATTTCTTTACAGATATGTAACAATCAAGAATGCTTGTTTGATGGATTCGATTGTGATAGTATTCCGGAACAGTGCTCCAAAAATGATTACTGTACAACACACTATGCTGATGGACAGTGCGATCGAGAATGTAATGTTATCGGTTGTGGATGGGATGGTGGTGATTGTGATTCTTTTGATGTTGAAACACCGGTTTGTTATTCATTGTCATTGTGACAATTAGCTCTTCATCATTCGTTTATTTCATCTTTTCAACATAGATTTTGCAGTTAGAGGGAAACATCATAGTGATACTTCTGATCAGTCCAGACGAATTTTTACATAATGCGCAAACATTCCTCTTCACATTGAGTCAAAAGTTACGTGGTGCTGTACATATTCGAACGATAAATGGCAAACCAATGATATATTCGTGGAGCTCAGAAGGTGGTATTGGACAATTATATGATGTAGCACCAGAAAAACGTTACTTACTTGTTCCCAATTTGCAACGAGTCAAAAGACAAAGTAATCTCTGCTACAAATCTCTTCTACAACTAACTTATATTTCACTTTTAGGATAATTAAGTACACTTGAAATATAAAAATAAAATTGAAAAAAAAAAGATTCGAAATATAACCAAAGTATTATGCTAAAAATTTTCTTACGATATTCTAAAAAAAAATTTAAATTAATTGGTTAGCGTTTTTCCTAGGCGCACAGATGCTTCGAAATATATGTGTAAATACATATCTTAAGATTAAATCTTTTTGCATTCTTTAAAATAAAAATTAGTTTTGTTCTCAAGAAAATGCAACATTAGATTTATTTTTGATTCTTTTCCCATTTTCCGATATCTTGTAAACGTTTTTGCAGCAGACCAGTTACGTGGCACAATGGTAATGCTTACGGTTGACGTATCATATTGCCGTAAAATTGATCGTGAAGAATGTTTTTCGGATCTGTTTAGTATTGTCGATTACTTAGGTGCAGCTAATGCTAAACAGGTAAGAGAATACTTAGTTTATGAAAGAAATTCATATCATTAGATTAATTTACAATCGATTTCGCTAATTTGTCACTGTTCAGTTTCAACTTCAAAATTCGTTAATTTAATTAAGAAAAGAAGGGCAATTGAAATTTCTCTTTCCTTATTTTTTAATGAAATATATATATATATATATATCTATTAAAATTGATTTTCTGTAATGTCTTACCATGTCACACCCTTATCCAATTAAAAAGAGGCAATATTATATTAGTATTTTATATCATTAGGAAGGATAATTTATAATGAAATCGAATACTCTATTGTTTCTGGCTTTTTTTCTGTTTCTAATGCCTAGATTATATCAAACACTCTCTGGGATTTTTTGCAGACTTATATATATATGCTTTTTTTTTCTTTACAAAAATTTTCATCCGTCACGAATAACAATTTGCAGGAGTTGCAAGAACTTGGCATGCCAGTGCATTCAGCTCGGGTTGAATTAGATAATGCTAAACAGGCTAAAGGGATCTCCTGGCAAACCTTACTTATTTGTCTATTAATTTTTGTCACAACAGTACTTATTGCTTATTCTATGGTTCAACAGGGACGAAAACGGAAAACTCTTCATGCCCGTATTTGGCATCCACCGCCATCCGAAAGTTGTACGATTTGCATCCGTTTATCTACCTGTTATATTATTTTCTCTCTTATCATAGTTTTCAAGTTGATTTTAAAAAGTTGAAGGATTAAACAAATAACTTTCCATGTTGATGCATCTGCTCGTGAATTCATATTATTTCTACTTATATCCGATAATCTTAATCATCCGATAGAAAATGTTTCCGGATTTAGTTATTTTCTGAACAGTAAAATATTTAGTAAAATTATGGTGTACATGTTCATTCTTACATTGCCAGATTTTTACAGGTAAATCATCAACTGGAAACCTAGACACTTATAGCATTCATAGCGGATATTTGTTCAGTAATTATGGTACAGCAAAACGCTCTCGTGCTGATAATATCCCTGTTGGTATTGCTCATCCGAATTTGTACATTGGAGAAGATACGCAATCATTTCTGAAACCGAAAATGTTAAGTACCGATGAACGGCAATGGACACATTTGCATGAAGCTGCTGATTCGACTGTACCTATATCTTTACCGGTTTGTGTTTTTTAAATGAAATGGAAGTGATTAGAATCACATAAATATTACAGTTTTTGATAATCTTACAGATTAGGTATTTCAAGATTTTTTTACATCATGGAAGGGTATCACATTACAAATTATTTCAGCAATTAGGATCCTAATCTTACGCTACCGTACTTCAGTAGCCATAAAATCACTTTCAGATAGAGCCTTTATTGGTAAACGTACGTGGAAAGCATGGACGTACGCCTATGATGCAGACAGCATCTAATCAAGCAAAAAATGAAGAGGCATCCTGTGAGGATATTCGTAATTTATTAGAAGCTGGCGCTGAAATTGATGCACAAGATGACAGCGAAGATACGGCTTTGATGCTTGCGGTGAAGAGCGGTCGAACAACGGTAGTAGATTGTTTGTTGAAGAATGGAGCTGATCCAACAATAGTTGATGAGAAGGATCGTACTCCATTGCATCATGCTGTTGCTGTAAATATTCCGAACATCGTGCAATTGCTACTCGATACAAGACAAGTTAATGTAAGTTAATTTAATTTAAGATAATTTTAACATTTCTTTTGAAAATTTAACAATTTAAGATAATTTTTATATTTAATATCGGACAAGATTTATTGATCTTTCATTTTTTTTCGCTCTAGTAAGATCTCTTGAAATTTTTGATTAGCTATAAATAAATGATTTCTAGGTGGATGCATTAGATGAAGATAATCGAACTCCGCTGATCATTTGCTCCAAATTTGATATACGTATGGGTACTGAAATAGCCGAAATGCTTTTGAAAGCAAAAGCAGATGTAGCATGTGCTGGTGATAAAAGTTTGACAAAGTATGATGGAAGAACAGCGTTGCATTTCGCTTCACAACATGCTAATTTGGATATAATTCGACTTCTAATTCATAATGGCGCTAACAAGGATGCGCAAGATTCATTGGTAAGCAGGAAGTATAGAATATTAAATTTTCAAGAATTCTTCGTTCTTTTTTTTCTATTTCTAATTTTTTGGAATATTCAATCGTTTTTACGATAACTGAAAATTTATTCAAGTGTAAATATAAGTGTAATGTTGCAAAAAGATAATGAAATGTTGAATAATTTAGGATCAAACACCATTATTTTTGGCAGCATCTGAAGGACATCTTGATGCTGTAGAATGTCTGATCAATCTTGGTGCTAGCAAAGAAATTACGGATCAGAAAGAACGATCACCACGTGATATTGCTGCAGAGAAGGAATTCCGTGATATTGTCCATTATCTCGATACAGTACCTACACCGAGAATTTTGCCGTCAAATATGGCTGCAACTTTAGCGCTTTCAACACATCAACGCTTTAAAAAATCATTCAAGAAAACAACGGTAGATTTTTTTAGCATTTGGATTTTTATTTCTCAATTTTCTTCCTTTCTTTTTCTTTGTAGTCTATTTAATGAAAATGGTCAATGGAATTTAAATTTCACATTAAACTGGAATTTGAAAAGTTAGATTAAAATTCAATAAGTATTACAGAGACCAGTCATCAAAAAGAATCCATCGCCAACTTATCCTTCGGCAGTGACAGCAATGACAGCACAGCCAGCAACTTCAGTTAATCCACTTACTCCGCCGAATTCTGACGGTTCCAACTACTCCACGACACCATCACCGCATGATACAACAGCGGTAGTTCACGGTGGAACAGCAGCAACACGTGGAACTACGGTAACCCAAGCTACTGTTGGTCATCCGGAAAATGCAGTACTTCAATCTTCATCTGTTATGCTATCACCCTATTCCGATCATCATAATGGTACTGGATGTAGCCCACCACAAATGGTCAGTTTATAAATCATCATTTAGTTTTGCAATAATGAAAATGCACTGTAGAGAAACTCAAAAAATTTAATCGTTCCAGCAGTATATGTTATTGTTCATTATTTATTGAAAAGTAAGCTTAGGAAAGAATATCAAAAGGATACTCCTACCTGGTGTTGGTGGTGCTTTGATATTTTCCGAAATGGTTGAATATTTACAATATCAGTAAAATATCTGTTTTTTCAGATGACAGCAATGCAGGCTGGGTGGTTGTTTCCGGCTAATCAATCATCACATCAACAGTACGAGGAAGGATTATTTTACGGTACGGGAATGTTGCCTTTTGTTTATGATCAGAGAACGTTAAGGCCTTCATATTCTCAATCACACATGCCTCATGTACAACAACCATCTACTGCTTATTATAATGTATAGTTTTAATCTGTCATATGCTTTTGTCGAAGATGTGGGGAAGAAATAATTTGTAGTTAAAATTTCCGGTTTTCAATGTCAGCATAGTATATTCCCCTTTCAATATCGCTTGTTCATGATTCGGGTATATCTTTTCCGTTTTTTTTCCAAACATTTTCCAAACACTTTTTCGTTTTTCTCCAAACTTTATTGTGTCTGCTCCATCTATTAGATACCGTATGATTGTTTATTTCATAATGAGAAGCTAAAAATCCTTGTGTTATTTATTGTCTATATATAGAATCTAGGTTAGTTGTATACATTTACTTTTTTTTTCAATTTAAAATTTTAATTCACAAATGGAAAAAATTGACAAGTGGAATAAACGAACTCTTTTTTTTTCTTCCCTAATTTCTATAAATTTTTTGTAAAATTAAAGTGGCTTCAAATTATGAAAATTTTAATAAAAATTTTAATGTGAATTATGAGATACCGAAATAGATATTTTTTGTGTTACAATTGAAATTCAAAATTTGCTACCCAGAGTTGTAGAATTGATAGAAATCCATCAGTTGATAGGCTTATATAAGTAATTTGTGTCAGTCAAACTCAGACAATTAAGAATACTTAATTGTCTGATTTCATAGATTTAATTGTTTATGAAATCACACTTTTTATATTCAAAATCTTGTGGTCAATATTCATTATCCTTTTTTTTCCATAATTTTTTCACATTTTAAAGTCTCTCTCTCTCTTTTCGACATCATTAATTGTCAGTGTATATATCAGTCTTACAGTAAAATGCCTTAACTTTATGTTCTTTATAGTCCGATATTGTCCAACTTTCTCAGTTATATGATTTGTGCCTTTCTGATATATAGGTCTAAGATTTCCTTTCAGTAGTTGAATGAATTGGACTTGAAAGATTACTTACATATTAAGCGAATGAAATTTATGATTAGTTTTGATAATTGTCCATTTATCCCTAAATTATCAGTTTTTTGCTGATGAAAACTTCTTCCATTTAACAATACTAATCTGATTTAGACTATCAGGCTAGTTAGGCTAAATAGAAATTTCACTTGCTAACCTAGAATATTTGTATTTAACATTTGATAATGAATTATCAATCATTGTTTTTCATAATCTCTTAATTATAGATCTTTTCGATCATTGAACATAGGAGCTATCGGTTTCTTTATTTACATATTATCTTTTTGATTTCAAATTTCATACTTTATGTTTTGATTGCTTATTCGAATGATAATATTGAACACACTTATATGTCTTTTTTTGTGCAAGTATCTTCATCTTTTATCTTTATGCTATTTTAAACTTTCAGAGTTATTAATAAACATTTGTGTGCCATTGAAAATATTTAAAAGATATTTGAATTTTTTTGTTGAAATATGAAACAGAAGATGAATGAGCCGTCAACATCTAACATATTGTTTGGTAGTATTAAGTATTTGAAAGTATCAGTACCGTTGTAGAAACGACGGTAAATATGATAATGCGCCATACAAAGAATGATAATCTCACTTGTCGGTAGTAATGTCTCAGAATATTAGCTTGAATCGTGAAATGCTTTATTAGGCTGGGTGGTGACCTTTAACTCTTCTCTAAAATAGTATTATATATGAGTCTTTAGGACGACATCGTTTTCAATCTTTCTTGAATAGATAATCCGTATTGTTGATTGCTGTGTGAAATTTATGAACTGCTTTTGATAGCATTAGTTTGATATTTCCCTTGGAGTCTTTCATCTCTACGACATTTATTTATTTAAAACATTTCACTGCCACAGTTTTATTTTCCGAAAGATTAGAAGTGTCATGAAACTCATAAATCAACATTTGGTTAGCACTAAACTATGAAATTTTAATTCCAATTAGAAAAAGGAAAAAATTCAATTCATTGATAAATATTCGAGTTTGTACATCTATCGAAATGTTCATCTTGGAGTAACGAGTAAATCTTCCTTTATGAGGTGTTTTGCTGAAACGATTTTCAAGAAACTTCACTGATGATACCTCTTTGCATTTATTTATATTTTTGGTGTTGCGCTATTCTGGTGTTAAACATTTATGTAGTCGAAGAATGGATACCTTTTTGTCTTATTCTTTTGCTTAAATTGGTGATAAAATTTTACAAAAAAATTGAAAATTTTATGAGAATAAAGGAGAAAAAAGTTAGATGAGGAGAAATGCATGGGAAAAAAATGTAGCAGAAGCTATTTTCCATGCCTTTTCATTTAGATTATTATGTATCCTAAATTAACAATAAAGTAACAGTTGAATAAAGTAACATCTGTAAATAACATTTGTAACGAGCATATATATAATTAAAATGAAAATATGAAGGCTTACTTAGTACTGGTGATGTTATTGTGAATTAGATAAATTTTTGGATTTCGAGAATGAAATCGAAAAATGATGTTGGCAAGAAGAAAAACAGCACATCAACTTTCAATTTGTTAAAAGAAAAAAGTAAAATAGAATAAAATGGAAGCTTAAATAGAAAGGCAAAAATGCATTTCTATTTAAGCTTCTGTTTCCTACATGGGTTGCAATATATAATCTTTCTTAATGCTTTTTTTTTCTACTTTAATTAAAAAGCAAAAAAAAAAAAAAAAAATGATACTTTACAAATGTTCTGTTTTTCATTCGATTAAAAACAAATTTTAAGATGAAGCGGAAAATTTTTTCCTATCTTTGATAAATTATGTTTTACTTGAATTTTTCATTTTTGATGATATTTTTAAAATCATTTTATATTAAACTATTGAATATCGATAGAAATTCGTTTGATTCAAATAGGCATTATATTTGATGATATAAAGTTTGTTTGGTAATTGTTTTTATCATTATAGTAATATTCGGAATTTAATATGAAGCACTGTTTACATTTTAAATTCCTTCAAATAGTAAGTAAGTATCATAAAGTAACTTTACATTTTCCATCCATTAATTGGTATTTTCCTCATGAATATACTTAAGTTGCTTGACTTGTTTGAGTTCTATCATTTCGGGTAGAACAAGATAAATGGTTGTAAAATACTGTTGAACTGTTGTTAGTGTTTATCATGGAAGACAACCAATGGATATCTTTGAAATAGAAGTAGAAGGACATAAAATTTTAAAAAACTTGTGGTTTGAGAGCTGAGGGTATTTGTTAATCATTTGAAGTTAAAAAGATATTTTTAATTGAAAATAAAAACAATGCACTATTTGAAATGAATCAGTTTAATTGAACATCCCACGGTCGAATAATATTCATATAGGAAGGCTTAAGACTTTAACGTAACTTTATGATTCAGCTTCGGGCTAAAAAAAGGGATTATTCTAAAATGGCATCCATCGGTTCTACGTTGCTAGCAGGCAAATGCAGTAGCATTTGCCTGAGCTTCGCAAAAAAATTATTTTTGTTCTTTTAATATCTTCGTTGATTTTTTGATTCATTATTTTAAAACTATTTTTGTGAAGGAAGAATTTTGGAGATTTTTTAAAGATATTTTGGAAATTCCTGAAACTCTATTTAAGTGTGGAACTCTGACGATTCAAAATTTGCTCACTTATTTTTTTCTCAAAATTTTCTCAGAATTTGTGAATTTCTGGGGATTGATAGTGACATTTGTCATAAGAAGCAGTTGGAACATTATGAAAAAGCGAAGAGCACAGGAATATAAGCAGTTTCACTGGTATATTATGCTAGAAATTTTTAATTTTAAGGTTCCATCAATGTCATTAGAATTAATTGATAAAACTTAAGGTTGGCAGAAGAAAGTCGCAAAATTTTCATGTCAATAAAAGAATTGTAACAAATATAAATGCATAGTAAATACTATTTTGAATAACTCAATAAGGAATAAAAGCGAAGTAATTTTAGAGAATAACAGAAGGAACAATAAAATTTAAACGCTTACATTTAATCATCTTCACTAGTCTCCCATTTCATTCACAGACAAATTCTTAGCAGATTGAACTTTTCCCCCGGGATTTTTTGGCTGGTTTAGATTCTGGCAAATTCATTTGCAAATGCATCTTCATATTCGCTTCTGAAGCAAATAAACTCTGTGTTTCCTTGTTTTTCTTTTTTTCACCGCGATTTAATTTAAAATTTCATAATTTAGTATAAGTTCCAGTGAAAAAAAAAAGACTATTGGTACTTAATAAAAAGAAATGTGAGAAAATTATGCACATCAACTAGTCAATATTTGAAATATTGTCTTAGAGCTTCTGGGAATATATTCCTTAGTGCTTCGAAAACTTTTCAATTAATGCTGTTTAGGCATCACGGTGATGAAACGTAAAGTGTTTCATAGGTGCTTTCATTGATATATATCATATCGAATTATTTCTTTATTTTGTCATTTTTTTTTTTTTTGAAATGTTCATTTTAACTTTTTAATTCTTACTTTTATCATTTGCTAGCTATTCCACAAGAAACGCTACTAGCTAGGCAAATACTTCCTTTATGCGAACCATTATTATCTGGTAATAAAGAAAAAACCAAATTTAACATATTACTAGTATGATCACAAATACTGTTACTGTGATTAACAATAGCAAACTGTTACTTATAGAAATCTATATTTGTATTTCCATTTTCGTTCAACGTTGAGATTATGTTATTTAACTATTTTAGCTATTGTGTATTTCCTTTTCTGAAATTGATAAAATTAAAAACTGAAAAAAATTACGCAGGTTAACACGCGTAAGCATAATTGATAATGTAGAGTAGAAGAATTTATTAATTACTATATATTTAATCACTTATCTTTTTTTTTTCATTTCAGGATGATGCTCTAGTAATTTACATTACTGTGAACAGCAGCGATACATAAATACTAATATCAGCGATGAAATTTGAAAAAAACTTTTTGTTTCTGTTGTGTATGACGTCTGTTCAGATTTCAGTTATTTCTTACCAACAACTTGCATGCATACTGCGATGTAAGGATGGCAATGTTAGTTTAACTTTATTAATTAAACATTTTCGTGAATTCAAGTATCCATTTTACATTAACAATCTACTAAAAGTCGTTAATTTAGAAATAAAATCTTCAGATAATATTAGGTAAAATTAATTAAATATGTGAGTTAATGGTACTGCAAGAATTTAGATGATTTTTTGAAATCTATAAAAAAATTTCATTTCGAAATTCACAATTATTAATTTTTAGATGAATAGTATGGAACATATTTTGGGTTCAAACACTCATTGGGACAAAGGTTTTGTTACACCACTGCAAGCCATATTAATTGGTCTTCCGAAAACTTCACGTCATCGCATCAATAGCTTTGCTCAAAGAATTGAAAATATTTGCAAGTAATTTTTCTTTATTGCTTATTTTAAATTATAAGTTGCAAATTAGTATTTCTCATTTTTTCTAATTTCAGATAGTGCAAGTTTAATAATGTAGAATAAAATTTGAATGTATAATTTAAATGTCAATGAACTAGTGCAGTATTAGTAAATATTTTATATTAGTATTAGTAAATATTCTACTTATCGTTATAAAAATCTTAATTTCTTACCTCAATATTACGTACTCTTACTATATAACTGCAACAGTAATAGAACTTACAGAATCTTCTGAACCGCACATTACAGAATAATTAGGTGAAAAATTATGAAGATAAATTATTCATTAATGATAGAATAATTATGCTTGTACAATAAAACGTGAAGAATTACTGTAAAAAAGTTATAGTTTTCTACTTTACCAATTAATTGGATTAAAGATGAACTGAAAATAATCGCTTTTATATGCTATTAAATCTCTTATCAGTGCTATTCGAAATAGCTGTATCATTAACTCAAAAAGTGCAAATTAATTTTGCGAAGAATATGAATTCCAAAATGTATCAAATCTAATTCTGGTCGACAAATTAATTGTGTACTTATTTTAATTAACTTCTTAAGTATGTCATTGAAATATAATTTTTCCCTTACTTGCTTTTATGCTGAACATGTTGAGTACTTATTTTTATGAAATATTCAAAATTTTTTTTAGGTTAAATGCAGAATTTGCAAATTGTATAAACAGTTGTGGCGATCAAAACATTGGGCATATATTACTGAAAGGCCAAATTTCGTGGACAAGCATTTGTGATGCATATCACTACAACACTGGTTTGTACCGATTTTTGACTACAATAAGCATAAGGTATACTGATATTACAGTATGCTACACTGAAATGTTAAGTGCTTCAGGTGATTTCTTGTCATTCATTATACCATGTTGGTCAAGATATGGCAATGATGTTGTAACGCTATGTGCAACGCAAACGACAGCTTTGCAGCATGCTGCATCAAACCTAGTGGACAGTGGTATAAAGATGGTCAATGAGCATCTTGACGACTTGTGCAAGTTAGCAAAGAAAATTACAATATTAGGTGGATTAGGAGAAGCGCAATGACCACTTTAGGGAAGTTTTCAATAATTCAGTTCAAAAAACAAAAATAAAAATCAGAAAGTATTAAATGATCAATGACCTGCAAATTACAAATTAATAAAGTTTTTTTTCGAATGATTCTAATCAATATGAAGGAATTCACTAGATATACTCTTTTTTGATTTAAAATTATCATAGAAATTTTTAATGCTATACCAAATAAAGTGAGCAATTAATAATAATTTAATTATTGCAGTTGGCATTTCAGAAGTGTCACAACGCATGACAAATGCTATATACGACAATCAAACAAATTCTGTGGTACAAGAATGCATGAGTTTTTGATTAATTTGAGTCGGCGTACTTTTCGGTTTGTTTTTTTTTTCAATGCTTTTTGTTTTTATAAGTGTTTTACTTTTTGAAATTTTGCTTTTGAGAAAAAAAAAAAAGAACTGGCAATTCATTGCTATACAACGGTAATTTCATCAATTTAACTTAATTTAGCTCAAACTCTTCTTTCCCATCGTTTATATGTGTCATTTTTGTTGTTTTTATTGTCGCATAAATATATATGCACCGGTTACAGAACAGTAACTGAAAAATGCTTACTGTATAGCATCGATGATTTAACAAGCAAATAATTTTGGTTATATTGGTCATAAATGAGAGTTCAAAAGTTTTTCATCATTATGTTTGATATTTTTAAGATTATGGAATAGATTGTAAAATTTTAAAGCATAAACTAAATGCAGCATAAGTATTCAAGCATTCAAAAGTTGTTACAATTACTTTCTTATATATCAATAGTAATAATAGTCAACTTATCTAATTTTCGACTACAAATCATATTTTTCTCACTTACCAATTGACATTTTGTCTTTTATAAAATTTCAGTGAAATAATTTCCAACAATAATTACGAATTTAGTCTTTGTGTGAAGTGATGAAAGTATGACATTATAGAGCATTGCTAGAATTACTGAAAGAATCCGGATTAATCAAGCATTTACCGGATTCATGCGAACATTGGGCAAGAAAATCATCAAGTTATAATTGGCATAATGAACGGGAAAATGCTCAACGTCGGGAAATTTCCGCTGGTAGTAGTAGACATTGTTGCTGTTATTATTTCTACTACTGTTGTTGTTATTATTGTTGTTGTTGCTGTAACACGATATTTATCTCATTTTTTGTTGTTGTATTTACCAATTAATATTTATTTTCCAATGTTTACAACTAATCAAAAGTGAAATTAAGTTAAAATCAGACGTGAAATCAAAAAAACTGATTAATAGTTACGTTAATGACTAACCTGATCAATATTCATTGATTGTGACTAATTTCAATATCGTTAAAAAAGAAGAAAAAAGAAATGGAAGAAATTAGCTAATATTTTGAAGCTTATTTCTTAATGCTTATAATTTATTTGTATTGTATGAAAATGGAAATAAACACTGAAATTCAAAACTTTCTCCTTTTTTCTTACTTTTTTAGCAATTGAATGAATGAAACGACGAGATAATAGAATAATATATAGGTGGAAAATTTTTTCGTATAAATTATAATTATTCCAATAAAAAAATCCCAAAAAACAGAGAGAGAGAAGGAGAGAAATAAAAAGCTAAAACTTCAATTTAATTTCTTTTATCCTTTTCTTTTTTGTTACAACTGTTGCATTTCTTTTTAATTTTTTGTTTAACCTAATAGTAGTGATGAGTTTTGGAAGTGACACTGAAAATGGATGAATGATTGTGGATGGGTTTCTCAAATTACATGCACAACCCAAGCATTAATTACATTAATTCTCTCCCATGTGACCCCAATTATACCATTGCGATTGTTGTTTCTATGAAGCATTTGCATGTTTTTTTATCAAATTATTTCAAAATAAAAAATTTGAAAAAGAATGGTAAAAAATAAATTTCCTTCCTTCTCCCTCTTTCTTTCTTTTCTCTTCTTTATTCATTATTTAATACATATATATGTATGTGTATATATTGCCTAAGATAGTAAATGGTTTTGCATGTCAGTTAAATATTATTCAAATGGATTGATTGAGATTATCAACATGAAAAAGAAATCTATATTCTTATAATATATCATGCTGTTTATTTCAAGCATGTTCATTAGCATCAATTTCATTTTAACCTATTTTTTATTGTGTTTTTGATTTTAAAGGGAAAAACAAAATCATTGTGAGTATTTTTTACCCAAATTATTGATATAAACAATAATTATCGATGTAATATTATCGATGCATTTGTTTATTTAAAATGATAAAAAAAGATAATTAAAATAACGAATAAAGGAGAAAAAATAGATGATAAGAAAAAAGATATAATAAGTATTGTGAAGAAAATTTTTGCATACAGAAAAACGAGAAAAAATATGAAAGTTATGAGAGGAAGAGGAAAAGGGAAAAGAAGAGGGAAAGGGTGAGAAAAGAAATAGAATGAAATAGGATGAAGGATGAAATTACTTTGGGATTTGGGATCGTCGTACGGGTTTTGTGCCCGATTTTGCAAATTTGATTACGATATACATATATATGTATATATGTACATTGACTGGCTCTTATCTTTTCTTCATCTTCTACTTTCCCTCTTTTCAACTCTCTCATCATCAACACTAATTTAACTACCCTGCCCTTACCTCACCCGGTAACCCATATTTCTTCACCATTAATTATGAATGTAGGAAAATGCTTCGACTGTATACATGTTAGATGTATGCATAACTATATATAAATAGAAAGTAGATTGAATTTTTGGATGAGTTATTAACGGATTTCCAATCCTTGGACCTGGTAATTCCCAGGGGATTTTTGCACGAATTGCCGATTTTGCTGTATTTTCGTTTTACATAAGGAATTTCATTTTTCACTTACCCATTCATTTATTTAAAGATTCGGAATAATTATGTTAGTGATAAAATGTATGATAATGAAAATTTTTTGTAAATTTTATTTTTCTTTTCCACGGAATTTTCAAGCTTTCTTTGTTGAAATATCTTGATTTAAATTTAGATTTTACTTTAACTTTGATTTAGAGAAATATAAGTACTTTTTCAATGAAGTATTCCAAAGGGATTAATGTAAGAAATCGAAATAGATGTATGAATATATACATTTATAAGAGATGAATAGTGTATTTTTATTATCGAAGCATTTTATTACCACGTTGCTTATAAGATGATTATTTTCGATAATGAATGAAAGAACGGTAATTAAACATAATTTGCATTTCATCGATACTATATAGCACACATTTCCAATTAATAGTTTGAAAAAATTGAAAAAAGATTATTAATTAATTTGATTAATTATTTTTTTGTGATCATACTATTAAGTTCAGTACAGTTAATTTGTCGAAAACTAATCTTTTCCTCTTTCATTTTTATTTTATTTTACAGAAACTTTTTAATTTAAATTCTAACTATATCTTTTTATGCTTTTCGTAATTCGATAATTTGGAATTATCCTATTGAAGGATAATTCCATTTCGTAAGATTTCATTAATCAGGAGTAATCCGGAACCTATCATTTTGGAGTAGAAATCAACAAGTCATAAGAATGTAGCACAGACACAGATGAACACGCAAACATATATATATATTAATTTATATGTAAATTTGGTAGATATAATTTGAAATCTATCAGTTGATGACATTCATTTCATAGCTGTGGTTGTGTCATTTCCGTCTTGTCATCTTCTCCATTACACCCATCACAGTTTGGCATATCATTACCGTAAATATATATCAAAACTGTCTCATTACCGTAAATATATGTCAAAACTGTCCCAAAGATTAATGATGACACAATCGATGGTGTCTTAAGAATATGCAAATTTGTTTCAGTTAGATAAGAATTAATGGTATTCTATTTGATTGGCGCCAAATTCACTACCTTGAAACCCACAAATATGTTATTTTGATTAATTCAAGGGCATTTATGCCCAGAAACGTTGGAATTTTGCATAAATTTCCTTGAAATTTGACAGGATAACAAAATATTGCAGTCTATCATAGTGGAAATTTTGCTACATTTGCATATCTATAATAATTACAGTGCAACAATTTTCAACAATGTCAGAAATTTCTTGTTGCAATAATACTTTTAATAATTTAAATAGAATTCTAAAAGTTACCATGTGCAATTTAAACAAATTAGTAATTCAAATATTCAATTAAAATAAGCTTTAGAAAAGAAAGGGAAAAAAAATTATGTGATAATACTGTTGCACATAATGCGATCATAAATGACATTATGCGCCAAATAATCAAACATGAAAAGGTCATAAGTTTATAGGAAGGCGAAGGAAGTCGTTAAAATATAATCTAAAGTAAATTTCATAATTTAATTGAAGTGTTTCAATTGAGACGATATGTTCATTATTTCTCTTTCTTTTCAATTCATTGCAATAATTCCCTCAATTAAAAAAATAAATCATAAACAAATAACGCTTACTTGGCTCACGAAAGATAACAAAATCGTTTTAGCTTATTTTTTCCGGATTTTCATATGCTGATAAGCTAACATAAGCTTAATGTAAATTTTTTTAAAAATGGTCAAGATTATCTTTTTCTTCTGCAATTTTTGATTCAATTTTATATATCTGTTAAAACACATTTAATTTCTTTCTAACACTTTTTTTCTTTTTCAAAATAAACGGACGAAATAAAAAGGAAATAAATCGCTGCCAATTTTTTTTTCATTTCAAACTTTTGCAAATAGTGTTGGTGAGAGAAGTAGAATTGAGTGTCTGAAATTATTTCGAAAACGATACTTTTGGGACTGTTTAAGACGTGTCATTCGATGTAGTTGAAACTTCAACAATCTCCGATTTATGCTTGCAATTTGAGCTTTTTCAAGCTTTTCTTGACAATCTAGTACGATGACGATGTTATCATTTTTATACCCATTTAAAAGTATCAATAAAAGTTTAAGTGATTTTATTAAAACCAAATTTATGAGAAAAGGATAAAATTTATTTCCTTCCTAATTTATTACTTCCTAATACTTTT